CTCTCCATCAACTTGCCAAACATAGCCCAAATCATTAAATATTTACCAAAAAAAAGCAAAGATCATTGAAATTCTCAGTGAAGAAATGGGAGAAATCGGAAACCTTTTCAGCTTTTAAGTGCTTATGGCCTACCAAGAAGCCGACTGGGTGGGTCTTCGACTGTCCTGAACCAGAACCGTCCCTTATGTCCAATCCAAGCATTAAAAACGTGTATAAATAAGGCAGATCGACTCTGTTTACTGCAGTTGTAGATAATTAATTCTCAAATAATTTTACATCTATTGTTTGTGTTTTCCTGGCCGTCTCCATGTATTGTTCGTTAAAGATTTTATATATAGTATGTAAATAAGAAAAAAATTTGTAATTTAAATTGTAAAATATTAATTATTAGGTGAAAAAATTCTTTCTCTTTTTTTTTTTGAACATATTTTGCAAGATACGAGCTTTGAACTTTGCCCGAAGAAGGGGGAATACACCGGTGACTAATGTCACTAGATCTCAAGGGTCAGGTGTATTTAATTATTAATATTTTATTATTTAATACTATTAAAATTACATGTCACTTTTTTGACAAAAACACATAATTGATTCTCTCACCATTCAGCAAAATTAACCATGACATGGAAATCTTCCCAAATTGGCGTTGATTCTCTGTCACGAGTTAACAAACTCGCTCGTGACACTTCGTTTTCCAGTTTTCCTTATTTTAATTCCTTCAATTTTTGGATTATATAGGTAATAGAAAAGTGGATATCAATTTATATTATAAAGAGTTTGGTGAAAAAATATTTTAAAATTATATTATTTTAATAAAATTATATTAAAAAAATACTAAAACATTCTAATTATTTTTAAAATAAAGATGAAGATATTTCAATTTTTATTTATAGTATTTCGTTTAAACAACATAATTTTAAAATATTATTTTATCTAATTTTTTACAAATTCAATTAATAAACATTAGTATTATATATATATATATATAAAGAAACTAATAGGTTGTAGAGACTAGTTGACAATGTGTATACATTTTGCCCTCAAGATTGTTAGGAAATACAGTTTTGAATTTCTTCAATATCATTTTGGTGCAAATATATACAATAAATTTACTCGTTATTCTCAATTGTAGAATTTTATTTGATATTTATGAATGAAACAATTTTTTACTCTCAATATATTGAACAGTGTTCAATTTGTTACTAATTTAAAACAATAATTTTTACAAATTTTCTAATTCAATATAATAAATAACATATAGTCTAATAATAAAGAGAAGTACCTCTTGTACCTCCTTAATAAAAGTTTATTTTGCTGATAAAAAAAAAAATAACATGTATTTCACCAAACCGAAGTGGACATTGTATAATGTCAAAAACTAACTAAAAAAAAAGCCCATAATTACACTAAATGTTATTAAAAACAAAAAACAAAAAGAAGAATTGGCACCTCCCATATAGTCTACTGGTGGCAGTTGGAAGTTTATGTGAGTCTTCACTGTTGTGAGACAAGCATGGATATGCATGTGAACTCTTTTGGACTAAAAACAATAGAATTGTCTCCCTAATATTGCCTTATTGTATATTCAAATTTATATAGCTCTGATTTGTCGTATAGAAATGGTTAATAATTATAATTTTTAACTTATAACTGATAATCAATTAATTGTTGATATAAGAATTTGGGATACAAATCATACAATTTTCATATATTATTAAATGGGTAAATACATTCAATATTACGATATTCGCATGAATAAAAAAAACTAATCATGTAAATAACATTTTAAGTTGTACAAAACAATGAAACAAAAAAGTTGTCTCAAAATCATTTCCTAAGAATTTGAATAAAATTAAAGTATAAAATATCTTTTTAAATGCTCTAATAAACTATTTATTATAATAATTATAATTACAGTTAGGAATTGAACCTTGCTATTTTTAACAAACCATCCAAATAAACATAGATGGCCCCAATGAAAAAAAAAAATCTAAATAAACATAAAATTCGGCATTTACCTTTCTTTTTGCAGTTCAAAAAATATATATAATAATTATAAATTGTCATTATTAGTCATAGCAAACAATACATAATTTTTCTTTGAACATGACAAATTATATTGATACTATTAGTATTTGTTTTTTAGAGAACGAGAGAATGTCAAACTTAAGACTCAAATTTTACTTCACCAAAGATGCCATCACTTAAAAAAAAAAAAAATGTAACCACTTAACTCACATAAGTGAATAGCACCAAATAAATATATAATAAAAATTCATCTCCCCATTTCTCACATAATCTTTCCATATCCATATTGGTCCGGTGCCTTAATTTTTTTTTTTTCAGAGTAGCACTTTAATTCAACATTAATACTTTTGGGCTAGATTTTCAAACTTTATCAATTCTTTTGGGTTTGAGTTGGACTCAAGTACAGATTTATAGTATGTGATCCAGCGCAAAATTTTCTATCAAAACAGCAAATGACTATCATTCAATGAATTGATGGAATTTAATTAATTATAAATTGTTAAGTGAAAAAATCTTAAATTAAAAATATATCAAAGAAATATATAAATTAAATATAAAAAAAATTATTTTACTTACTATCAATTAATTTTAAGTTATGTTCAAAAGAAAAATTAATTTTAAGTTAAATGTAAATTTTAAATTAAAACTCATATGTACCATTGTCATATGATATCATGCCTAGTCTTTGTTTCTAGGAGGCTTGTACTTAGCTAACCTCATGAAACTTGAAATGATATTGCTCCTGCAAGTCAAAGGTAATTCATATTGAGTCTGTATCTAAAAGGACGTATTGAATAAAAAAATCTCATATTAAAAATATTACATAAAAACATATAAGATGAACATAAAAGGAGTTATTTCATTTATTGTTAATTGGTATTAGACTGGACTCAAATTTTGTATTGAGGTTTATCTGCATGCATAATTTTCACAGTAATTTTTTACTTTTATTTCTATCCATTTTTAATATTTTTAATGATTATTTTAATAAATTCATAATTTAACATTTCTAAAAGACTTTTATGCAAACAACATTTATAATTTGAAGATTATTAAAAAGAAATTAGTTTTAAAGTAAGTAATTAAAAAAACTAACTTAATAATACCCTAGCCGTGGAAAAAAGAAAAAGCTCTTAATACTCATAATGATACCATACCAATTAACTCGATCAGCTGCACAAAGCTATGCTTTTTGTAAAAAACATATAATGCATTAATCATCATGGTAAATTCAACAACGGTAGATATACTTTTTTTAAGTTTTGGTGGAGGAGGGCGGCCATGTAGATATGACCTATCGTCCTTTGCTATGATAATAAAAGGCTTTTAGGAGATTAATAGAGGCAAAAAGCTTAATTTTAACCCCTCACCTTATCAAAATATAAGGTTTTAGTTTATTATTATATTTTTAATTTTTTATCTTATTAGATTTGTAAGTTTTAATCTCACAT